CATTACAAAAATGCAATTTTACGAAGTTATGTTAGGCCTAGTTAGTGTTATTCGATAACGTGCAAGATGTCAAACTCTAAAGTCTCCCACATATGATCCTGGCTCGGTTCTCCACAAGAGGCACAGGACCACGGTGTGCCATTGGATGAACTGGTGGAGCAGCCCATGGATGAGAGACCATGCAGCACAGCCTTCGGCCTGTACAGCTCAGACGCTCTCATTCAACCGTTTTAAAATAATAATCACATACATAATTTCAAGATAATTTTATTTCTTTTGCATGCTTTGGTCTGGCGGTCTTCCCCCTGGGCTGCTGAGCACTTCTTCTATGGGCTGCGCTAAACACCTTTTTGTTACCATTTTAAGGTAGCTCCATTTTTTTTTTCACCTATGGCATAAATTAATAAATTCTAACTATTGGCCCAATATATCTGTCAACTGTTTGATATAATATAGCGTATTTTTCTTGAAACATGTATAAACTCACCTCTTGAGTGCGTGTTGCAGGCCCCACGCTGTTTACAGATGCTGTCATCTCTTTCCAAATTTTCTTTTTTGAGCCCCTTGATGCCACTTTTGAGGCTTCAAGACTTTATTTTTTTCCCACTTTGTTCATAACCTTCTTCTCCATGAAGTTTTTTTCTTAGCTGTTTCCTCTGCATATTTGTTGCATATTTCTAGGTGTGATTTTCATAAATACGTTTGTTTTCAGCCGCTGTGCGTGCGCTCAGTTCTGGGCGGATCTCGCACGTTAAAATTCCGCGTTGGCTCGTGCATATTTGGAATATACACCCAAAATATACAACCTTTTCTTCGCAAGTTTCATAAATGAGGGCCATTCAGTGTAATTATGAGTCCCCTTTCAAAGCTGAGGTGAATTTATCTGAAAATGACATTCAGGGTCTCGTAGTTCAATGCAAGAAGGTCCATACGGAATACTTGTAAATAGAAATTGGTTAGCATTTTTTTGGGAATTGGGAATTCGAGCTGAGTTCAGACTGAGTAGCTCAGTTATAACACTTGTTAAGACACTTATCCCCACATTGCCTGAAGCCCGCGTCGGAAAGACCAAGGTCATCTAGTCGATCACAGAGAAGCCATCTTCCCGTGGACCCACCTGCAGGAGGATCAGCGAGGGACTGCTGCTGTGAGACTTGGGTGGCAGCTCTGATTGCCACCCCCCATCCAGAAATGGATTAATAAAGGGGTAGAAAATGACACGACATAAATTTAAACTGGTCCTGGTTGATTCCAGAAAGTTGGATTTGACTGGAAAATAAGGATACATTGTCATTTTGATCTTTCACATTTACAGGAATTTGATGGTTACTTTTAATTGTGACCAGATCTCGTCTAAAAAAACATGAGAAGAGCGGGCCTTCGCTGTCGCTGCTCCCAAACTGTGGAATAGTTTACCTCCGTACATTAGAGCATCTCCTTTATTAGTTTTTAAATCTAGTCTAAAGACACATTTTTATGCCTTGGCTTTTAACACCAACTGAGTTGTACTTTTCACATGTATTTATATGTATTTTATGATGTTTGTTTTTATTTTTATCTTTCATGCCTGTGAAGCACTTTAGGCAGCTCACTCCCATCTCTGTGTGGAGTGAGAGAACAAGTGCACAAAAAAATAACAATTGTAAAACCGCTTTGTGGCTCTGGTCTGTGAAAGGCGGTATATAAATAAAGATTACTTACTTACTTAATTTTAAATGTGCTATACATATAAAGCTAACATTTATAGCTGACATTATTAACTGGCAGACAAAACTATACAAATACAGTTATATCCAGTGTATATAGATGGTGGAGTCTAACAGAAAATAAATCTTGTTCTTGGGGATGAATAACAGGATAAATAAATGATTGTTCTGAAAACCTCATTTTTTCCATTGTATGAAGTGAACACTGGAAGTACCCACAGACTGGAACAACACGTTTGACTATTGAACTCATTTAATGTTGAAAACAAATACAAGTTACTTCACTGGATCATCACGATTGAACAAGAGATTTTTTGTAACATCCTCAGAAATATACATTCACATGGCTGCATACACAAGTCTCTCTTTTTCTTTTTCTGTCTTTGACATTACATGGACAAACCTTTTGTGTGACAGTGAAGTCGCTAGAGGCATTTGAAACGGCCTTTTAGGGTACGACGTTGGAAAGAAGCTATGAATCGTCTTCCGTCTATAGCCATTGTTGAGTCTATTTTTGCAGTCAAAATAGGTATATTTTACATGAACTGGGCTCTACATCTCTAAATAAATCCCAACTATGTTTTCAATCATATATACATTATTTACAGTGGAATGTCCAACAAATACAAAAAGTAGAAGATGGAATGAAGTTACAGTGAAAATCCATAATAAAAAAGATGACAAAAGATACAACTGAAATCACTTTTGCTTGTCATTTCTGGACCTGTCGGAGAATGTGGCAGTGACTGAATGAAAATTGTGCTTTCAAAATTTGCCCCAATTGAATCATATTTTGCAGGATTTTACTGTTTGTGCTTCATTATGTCAGGCATGGTTATTATTGTAAGATTATCCAGCATTACTGCATTTGGAGAAAAAACATACTTATGTCACAGTTTGGCCCTTTTCAGTGAATGAAAGTAGCATCCGATCACATTAGCTCATATCTTTTGGTCGTATAGGCACTGAATGCAAAACATAAACTCAAATATGAAAAAGTAAACTTGGCTGCAGCTATAATGTGTGCGTGCGTGTTTGTTGAAGGCGCACTTTTCAGATGGGGTCCACTTTGTGCTTGTTGCCATTTGCTTGGGATGTACCGCAGTATGAAAAATTGATAGAATAAAACACATGTACAATATTCCAAAAACCTGATTTCTTACATAGGATCAGGGCGCCTCTCCACAGATATGACTAGTCACTTTTCTCCAATATAGAATAGAAGTTGAATGACAAACTGTTGAAGATTCCAGGCAAAAAAAAAACAAAAACATTTAGACAGACCGGATACCCCAGCGAGAAAAATGCACCTTAAAATGATGAAACTTTTTTTTTTTTTTGGGTAATTTACAGTATTTAAATACGAGGGAATAAAAAAAAAAAGATGAACTCTACATGAAATCAAATATATGCTTTTGTTTTCGCCACAGTACAAAATATGCACCCATACAAATTCAGTTGGTGTCATAATCAAATGCTACGATGGTGATTTGAATTAAAAAGAAAACGGACTTGTGTGTGAAATATAGTTGTAAAAGTATAGCTGAAGTCTGAAAATCAACATTCCCCTGTTATATAAAATGCGTAGATACAACTCTCGACTCCTTTTTTTCCTTTCTGCACAACAGAAAAGTAACTGTACACAAGAATAAAAACAGATGTACCGTGATAGTGACAGTGCTATGGGCTTGAGGCTCATGATTATTACATGCTCACATATTTACACAGAGACACAGAGCATGTCGAGGAGGCGTCCAGCTTCGGCTTTGTATTAATATCGGCGTGAATGCATTTATTTTCATACGAAGGCCTGAAATAAATGTTGCTGCATGTATTGTCACCAGCGATTGTGCACCCACAGTCTGTTAATACTGGCAACATTGGACATTGTGGCCGTTTTTGAATGCACTGAATCCAAACAGAAAAAAACAAAAAACAAAAGTAGCAACATATGCACTTCCACTCCCACACAAAGTCATGCATAAAATAAGGCTTAATACAGTATTTATATTTTTCAGAGCCAGATAGGTGCTTACATACATCTACAGGCAGTTGCATTGTTTTATTTCTCACACTTGAGCCTCTCTGTGTTTGTTTTAAATGGATTTTTCGGTTTTGTGTTATGGGAAGGAAACAAGACATCAAGCCTCCACTGGTTTGACTGAAACATAATGCCGAATGTTACCGTAGACGGATCCATATTGGAAACACGACAAACCACCAAAAATAGCTCAAATCATTAGAAATAATAATAATATAACAAAAAAAAAACAAAAAAAAAAGCAGCAGGTGACGAGAAAATCCAGCAACGTCACCAACATTGATTTTTCCCTTTACATAACAAACAATAGTAGCATCTCTCTCAGCGTTTTTTGAGTCCATGGCGTCTCTGCATGAACGCTGTTGTTTGGAGGGCACTCTTTGATAAGTGAAATCATTAAGACATTTGAATGTATAGTGATCCACGGGGGAACAAAGTTTTTTTACTGTGTCGTTTTGAGTCCTGGTGCACAAAGGGGCATACGGACCATTTTCTTTGCAATTTCAAGTCAGGCTTAAATCAAGGCAATTGTGATCCACGTAATGCCACCATCAGTAAACCCTTGACCTAACCCTTATTGTGAAATACAATTGGGAAAAATAGCAGTGCTTGTAAGCGTATAATAGAAAAGTCTGAAACATCACGAGTCAGGTAAAAGTCATACAGACGCCTTTGATTTTTTTTTTCTCTCTTTTGTGAAACATTTGACCACAATATTACAAACACTAAAAACCCACTTATGTCTCACACATCTAACTTTCAATTCCCAAGATAAAAATCATACAAAAAAGGACATTGAAAATAACATTATAAATCAATAGACAATGGAAAATACAAAATCAAACAATTGTACTGTATACTCTATATCCAGTGTAGGACTTTCACAATGTGCTCAGCAAAAAATGTTCAACCTGCAGTCTCTTTCTTTTTACACATTTAATACATTTAAAACATGAATAAAATGCACAAAAATAACACCAGTTTTGACCAATGAATACATCCCGTCTGTAATGTTCGGCTCCTATTGTCCTCACAGTGGACAATTCCCCTGATGGATTTGATACCAAGGATGTGATCTATAGAGACACGTTTCTACTGGAGCCCAAATGGTGCATGGGGAGTTTTTTGGGGGGAATATTGGCGAGTGGGTGGGGGTGAGGTTGTTGGGAGGGAGGGGGGTGCATGGTGGAATGTGGGTGGGTGCAGTGGGTGGGTGACCGGGAGGGTTTTTGAATCGAATGTGCCATGTGCCCCTACACGTACCACTCTTTCTTAGAGATAACCGAGCCGTCGGTTTGAGAAATCATGTCGTCGGCTAGCTCTGGTTCCGGGTCGTACTGGAAGGCAAGAGTCCGCTCGTCGTAATCCCGCGACTCGCCTTCGTCCACCGTGAAATAGGGCCTCTTCAAGTCCTCGCCGTCCGCATCAAAGTCGCTCCCGGTGACGCCAATCTGTGCCGACTTTTTCTCGTCGTCGGAGTCGTCGGGATACTGCAGGTTCTTGGGCATGGGGGGGTGTGCCGGCAACCCACCTGCCTTGGAGTAGCCGTTACCGAAGACGTGCTTTTTGGTGCTGTAGTCGCCCTTGAAGGTTCTCTGGCGCCGGCGAAGGAAGACGAAGAGCAGAACTGCAGCTACGCCCAACAGGACCACTCCCCCCACAGCACCCCCGATGGCCGCCCCGGGGTTGTGCGGGTCAGAGCGGGGGTCTGGATCATCGAATGGCGGGTTGTTAGGGTACTCTGGGTAGGAAAAGACAAATGGGAGGGAGTGTGTCAGTGCTCTGTGGGAGGAGGAAGTGCATTGTGCAGACAGGTGCAGACATTTTTTAGGGAAATATGAAGTAAGGGACACAAGGAAGGAAAGAAGAGGGGAAAAGGACGGACCCAGGCCCAGCGGTAGCCCACCCACGACCCATGAGAAACCTGCCTCCAGTGTGGAAGGAGTCTCACATGCAAATGTACGTACAGGCAGCACAGAGTAAAGATTGTCATGCAAAAGATCAAAACTTTTCCACATAGCATTTGCTCAATACGTAAAAGAAAACACACATGTGCCATTGAACACACAACAGGAAGTTATACATTGCATAAATTTGTATACCTGCAACATGACATAAAGCAGTATGTAGCAGCAAGTATCAGTGTATGAAATGTTAGGAGCAGCCAAGCAGTCACAACAGCAAAATTGCAGCAAGAAAAAAAGGTAGTGCTCTTTCTTACTCCAATAAAAATGTCTCAGAGTATCTTTTACCAGATAAAAGCGATCAATGAGCAGCCAAACAAAACTAAGAATAACAACATTATATCTGTAGACAACATTGCACGGCCTATTGTTTTTAAACAAACCAGAACCAGCCATCTTCTGCACTGCAAATTCTACAAATTGGAGGAAAAACAAATGCTCTCGTCTACAGTCCCCCGGTTGGTTACAGCTAAACAAAGCACTAAACAACCATGTCTGTTTGCACTCAAAATAAAGAAGTGTTCAAGGCTCCAGTGAACAGAGTCAGACAGAAGGGACTCTTGTTTGAGACATAATCAAAGCCTGGAGGCACTCAGGTATACGTGTTCAAACTGGCACCGTACAGATACATCTAACTACCAGAGCAAATGCAGAGATGTTAACAAAAATACAGAGGCAAACATGAGCAGAGAGAACATCCTCTGTGTCGAATGGAGAGGACAGCGATACCGCAGAGATGTGCACGCTGCCACTTTGGGAAACAAAGACAATAGACTCTTCAAAGAGATACTCAAACAGCAGTTACTAAAAATATGAGGGAAAGAGTGGTTCAGTGGCAAACATAAATTGTTGCAGCCTTTTCCAAAAGTCTATTCCAGTAGTTTAAGTTTTGAGTAATTGGGGGTGGTCAGAGGGAATGATGGAGGGTCCAATGGCCCAGTTTGGCTGGCTAGCTTCCATCACTCTTTCCCAGGCAGCCGTGGAAAGAATATTACCCAGGCCCATCCAAGTGGGGATCGATCCAATAATGCACCCCATTGTAAATCAACTTAAACTATTCACAAGAAGTGTTAGACTCAAACTACGTAAATACATCTATAAAACAACATTACTTGGATTGCTTGTCTGAAATAGAGCTTGATACATTTCAAAAAGAGATTTATAATTGCTACAGCTTTCATGTCTGAATTGCAAGAAGAGATAGTCTATCCTGCAACACACAGGCTAATTTCTTGCACAGAGGTGTTCTTTGGGGTGACAAACTGTTAGATCCAATATGTAACATTCAATTAGAGCAGGTATTAGGGGGCACAGCTAAGTCTCTGAATAGAAATCTGGTGCAGATGTAAAGCCAAGGAGTAGCAGAGAAAGTCAGCCTCCTTCCTGTCTAATGATAATGGCAGATCATCAGGCCAAAGGAGAGCCCACATCCAGCCCTCTGCTCCCACTGACACCCCTCATCTCCCTGGGCACACACTCAAATTTCAGGTCGGGTTTTAATCGGCCACCAAATGGGATTATTCAGACAGGCCTTCATTACACACATGGACAGGAGAGCAATGATAGGTCGCACATCCATGTCCATCATTACTAACCTAAATGCTATACATAATAACTCTTGCTATGCCTTTTTGGTAATATATTTTAAACGATGAATAAAGAGTCCGAAGAGTCTATCAAGTTGAATTGCCTTTGTGGGAAATGTCATTGTCTCATCCCTGCTCTATAGTTCCTGTACCGTCTCTATCTAATAAAGACAAAATGCCCCAAAAAGTATAAAAACGTGTTATGCCTTTTACGAAACACTATTGAATCCCCTTTATTACAGCTTATCAATGGGAAAAGATCCAAATTAATTTTATTCTGTCTTGCTAATATCCGAGACTTGCTGCGAGCGAAATACGACTTCATTTTCACCACAAAGTTCTGCCGCAGCAGTGTAACTGGTAAAAGTATTTATTTGTAAGATATCCAATGTGGCTGGATGAGGTGTGTTATAAGGAACAATTAGATCAAACCTAATAGCAATACACAAGGAATATTGTCCTGTACTCCAATTGTTCACTTTATAATCTAATTCTATACTTTTTCTTGCATTTTGCCTCAGTTTTTTAATATCTTATCAATTTCTCATAATATACCTTATTGTCCCCACGGGAAAATGTGTCCTCTCCATTTGACCCATCCCGCATTGCCCCGAGGGATAAGAAGCCGTGGTCGCTGTAGTCTATCGCTCATTAAAATGGGTTTTCCAGATGTTGACTACCACAGCTGGAGTATTATACCTATGGCTCATGTTTTGTGTGTAATAAATATACATATACACAATAAAAACTGTATATGGACAAATCCTTCTAGACTCAAGCACCACTTACACAAATGTTAGTGGCCTAAAGGAGGATCTATGAGAGGTGTCTCGGTGAGCGTTCAGGTGGTCTTGACCTTTCTCGTAAAAAAACATTATCTTAAGCCGCTAAAACCGCTGATGTGAGGCTGCAAAAGGTGACAGCGGTTGCCTTCAAAGCCGATCTTCATCACCCTCAATTCAATAAAAGTATCAGATGACAGTGGCCTTTGTAAACTCGTATTCAAAGAATGTCTGCTCCAATGAATGGGAACCCGCAAGTGTCTACAAAACGCCGACATGAAAGCTGCTGTAAACAGACAGGTATTTTTGTGAGTTTTTGGTGTGGCAGCTCCAGTGCTAAAGAGCCACTCCACAAAACTGAAGCATTCTGGGAGCTTTAAAGGGCGGTGTTTAATTAGGTGTTTAATTAGTAAGCGCCAATGGACGGAAGCAATTGGTCTCTTTGAAACTTAGCAGGGGGGGAGCCCAAAACTACTGGTCCAAAAAATTATAATTTCTCAACAGGGCTAGAGCGCAACTGGCTTTTAAGTTGGGAACAAAAAGAGATGTGTTAGTTCAGTGGTAGGTTTATTCCCACCATGTTATCGTCTACTGGTTGGACTTCCGTCTGCAAGGTCACAACACCTCCCAATCAGCACAGCGCCCTTGTGATCGCAGCAGAACAAAATGCTTGGGAAATGGTTATTTTCCGAAGCTGGGGTGCAGCTCAAAGACAACAAAACAAATGGGAAATAGACTGGTTTCTATCAAGGCATCGAGATAAAGGACGGGAGTCTGTATCTGGTTTCTAAAGATAAAAAAACCTTGTACATTATCTTGAAGCATTCAAATGATAATGATACTATTTATTTTGTCATTTAATGATTTAAAATATCAAACAATATCTTCCGTCTAAAACTCAACTTTTATCAACTTATTCAACCGCCTCTACTCCTACACACTCCATCTGGAGTAATTTATGTGAAAATGTCCCTTTCATACAGTCCTTTGGTCGTAAAAGGCTGAAAACTGAGCGTGATGTCATAGTGTAATGACGTCATACTATTAGAACTGAGGCAGGGGCTTTTAGAAAAAAGGGGCGGGGTTCCCAAGGTTCCTGATATTAGCCTGGATGGATCAAAAACAACTTTGAGCCTGTTTTTGTTGAGGGAGCAGTGTTGTAATGAGGTTAAAAGGGAGAAGAAGTACATTTTGAGTAATATTTTTCCTTTAAACAAAGTGTTAAAATTGCGTCTGCTATATTTATGTGCAATATTTACATACTTAAGTGCAATATTTACATAATGTATTGCATGTGATGTGAGCCTGTGAACTACACTGTTCATAAACCCTGTGTCTAAGGGTGACATAACAATAAATTGAGTGTTTGTTTCAAAACTTTGATGTCTTTGATTAATTCATAACAAGACATCAAAGCAGTTGACTTAAACCTATATATCGCCTGTGTAAGCAATATATGTAAATTCCCATGCAGAAGTAATGGTTCGCTTTAATCATGTTAAGGAATATTAATAAAACGGCATTGAAACAGTGTTTTGATGGTGTGTGGGAGGGAGGAGGCGTTGAACCAGCGGCACACAAATGCTACTGGCAACACCTGCCAAGACACAGATAAAGAAGACCTCAAAGCAACTCACAACAACCAGCTTCTTTTGACTGTTCCAGCTGTACTGCCGCTGTCTATTAACACTGGAAATATGCTGATAGTGAGCTAACCTTGAGTTTTTCACCCATACAGTAACCACTGAGATTAATAGTCACTGAAATATGCCTTGACTTGGCTATAATTCAATCCAAAGGGCATGACAGATTTATACAGGTAATGGAAAACATGAAATACTGTGGGCCCTTTAAATGCTGCCACCAGGGGTTGCATTAATCATACAATTTTGAACACGCAACGCCTGATTTGATCTGGTGTGTATGATTTATCACAGCCAAAGCATTTAAAAATCTGCTTCCTTTCACACGCCGTTTATTAAAATAGAGTATATCTCATGGAAACCAAGCGCAAACAACTAGACATAATACTACACTTTTACTTTTTGGATCCACGTTTTCTAAAATCTGTGTTCACACGGAGAAATCTGGCTTGAGTCAGTTCTACCTGTACTCTTGCGACAAATAGAATGTCCTTACAGTGAACCTGAGTCTGGAAGTGTACCTAGTGTCTAATAATGACATTTAATTTGATTGGGACTCTGTACAACTACTGCAATTATGGCAGAATTAGCTCAAGGCTGTAGTTGTCACTCATAATCTTACTGTACATGTTCTGAGTGGTAGACCAGAGCACCAGGAGGACAAAGAGAGAACATGCAAACTCCACTCAGAAAGGCCCAGTGTAGTCTGGGAGTTTTGCTAAGAGGTGACAGCCCTTTGTGCCCGTTATCTATTTGTTACTTTGAC